TTCTCGGCCTCAATCATGGCCGCAAGTTGATCTTGGTATGTGCCACCGAATGCTCCTCTCCTCTTTCTCTCTTTTGCAATATTTTTTGCCAACGGTACTCTTGTTGGCATCTTCATCCTCCTATCATCGTCCTGAATGGATATGTTGAAGCTTGATCTCTTTGGTAAATGAATTGTGGCCGAATTTCTGGTTTCTTTGTTTGAAGAGATCTCAAATGATAGGGACAAACTTCGTGACCGGCCCACTGTTAGGTGGTGAATGATTCACTTGAACAATGCAAACGGACGATCGGTTGCATTGCTCTTGGATGGTGCCCTAACGATGCACAAGAGAGCCTTGAGTGCATCTTGGTGTCACATCCATAGAATTGTTGTAGTACTCCGCATTTCTCCCCCAAACGGTCCTTTGATTACTTCCAACCATTGCACCCGTGGAGATGTTCTTCCAAGCATAGCACAAACCAATATCTTCAACTTGGTTGTAGTTGTGAGTCCTTATGCTTGGTTGCCTCGTGCTTGGTTGGGTCCCGGTCTCCATGGGATCTTTAACCTCCTCCTCTTCTGCCTTCTCCTCAAGTTCTACCTCCTCGGCCACCACCCGGGTCTCGGCCTCCTCTTTGTCCTCCCATTCAGCTACATGATGATCAAACACCGAATACTAATTCAGATCTTCAATCCCAAGCGCATGTGATGCCTCCAAAGACGCTAAGTGTTTGGCTATGTTCATCTCTGCACCATGACAACAACAACGACAAGACGGAGCACTGGATGTAGGGGCAGCCCGAGACGCCCAATGAGCAGCCAGATGGGGATGAGGTGCCGGAGTGGCTTTGTTTCTCTCTTCTTCTTCCTCGCTTCCTCGGCGAGGGCCGACTCATCGGCCGTCGGCTTGCTAGCACACTTGCCGCCGACAGAAGCAGTGGCAGGGCGGCCTGACATCGTCGGAGATGCATTGGCCACCCCTCCGACCTTGCTACCGGTGGTAGTTACTAGTGTGGTGGACCGGGCAACATGTTTTGTCTCCAACTTTATTTTTGGTGCGGGCAGCGGAAGGTTCTTGCCTAGTTGTTCCAGCCGGAGCAGCTGTCATTGGTGGTACGTGGGGGAGTCGGCTACGGGAAGTGTGGCGCCGCGTGGGCGGGAGAGTATCTTTAGGCGCCATGGGGCGACTTTTCAGCCGAGGAGCAAAAACATTACTCCTCTAACTGATTTACGAGTTTATGAGCTTATTATACTTGCTCTAAATGGGTGTATGATTGTGTGTGTGTGTGTGTCTATATATAGCACCTAGGAGCCTACTATGTAGATTACAAATTCTACTAATAGCAGGACACTACGTAGGTTAGAAGAAGGGTGACGCGTGGGGTGAGAAGCAAGGTGTTTCCTGCACGGGGCGGAATGGACGGCGGCGGCAAGGAGTTGGGACGGCCGGCGCCGAGCGGTGGTGGGGTTGCGGTTTGGACGTTGGTGGTCTCCAACCTCGCCTACCTCGTGTTTCTCCTCTGCCAGTACCACATAAACCGGCGACGCTGTGACAAAAGCTCTGTCACAAGAGGTAGACCAGATGCAAAGGGGGATGCTCTCTCGCCGGACGCTGTCATCAACCTCGAGTTGTGCGTGTTCCTTTCATAAAACAATACAATTGGTGATTATTAGTATTGCAGAACTAGAATTGATGTAACACGTCTGCTTTGCCTTGCGTGTCATTTGTGCAGCGGCGACCCTACCATGTACGAGGCGTTCTGGAGGGAGGCTGGGGAGCGGGCGGCGGCGGTGATCCCCGGGTGGTGGGGGATGAGCTACTTCTCCAACGCAGGGGGCCTCTGCTGGTACCTGGAGCCTGAGTTGGAGCGCGAGGTGCGCCGCGTCCACCGCCTCGTCGGCAACGCAATGGCCGACGGCTACCACCTCGTGGTCGGCACTGGCACCACCCAGCTCTTCCAGGCTGCCATGTACGCCCTAGCCCCCACCAGCACCGACCGGCCCGTCGGCGTCGTCTCTCCGGCGCCCTACTACTCGGTAAGAAAAGAATAGGTCGATCGAGCAAGAAAATACAGACAGTTAGATTATTATTTCGTGAGTCGTGGTCGTGGGTGATTGACATGCCCTGCTGGGTGTGATCTTGGACGACGTACGTGGTAGATGTACCCGTGCAGACGGACCTCCTGCTCTCGGGCTACTACCGGTGGGCGGGGGACGCCAACGCCTTCCACGGCGACCACGGCGGCGAGAACATCGAGCTGGTCGTCTCGCCCAACAACCCCGACGGCGCCATCCGCGAGGCCGTCCTAAGCTCCGACTCCGGCAAGGGCAAGGCGATCCACGACCTGGTGTATTACTGGCCTCAGTACACGCCCATCACCAGCCCCGCCGCGCACGACATCATGCTCTTCACCATGTCCAAGCTCAGCGGCCACGGCGGCACCAGGCTCGGGTGGGCGCTGGTCAAGGACAGCGATGTGGCCAAGAAGATGGTCTACTTCGTGTATGGGAGCACCATCGGCGTGTCCAAGGACTCGCAGCTCCGTGCCGCAAAGATCCTCGGCGTCGTCTCCGACGCCTACGAACCTGGCCCCGGGGACGGCACGCAGCTCCGCCTCTTCGACTTTGCGCGACGCCGGACGGGGGAGCGCTGGCGGGCCCTGCACGCCGCCGTGGCGGCAACGGGCACCTTCAGCCTCCCAGATGAGATCACGGGCTACTGCAACTTCACCAAGCAAACCGTGGCAGCGTACCCCGGTACGCTAGTAGCACTACATGCCAATATAATTCCGTCATTGCTCCAACTTGATCTGAATTCTCATGCATTCTCAGCCTTCGCGTGGCTGCGCTGTTACAAGGATGGCGTGGAGGACTGCGCCGAGTTCCTGCGCGGGCACGGCATCGTGGCGCGGGGCGGGGAGCAGTTCGGAGGAGACGCCAGGTGCGTCAGGGTCAACATGATGGACAGGGACGCTGTGTTCAACGTGCTCATACAGCGTCTCTCCTCCATAACATGAAATCTCGATCAATGAGGATGCACAAGCCACAACTATAATGCATCGCAAGGGGGCAGCGTCTCTGATTGATTGAGTTTTGCTACTCCCTTTCAAATACAAGACGCACAATAATAATGTCACTGTGAGATGTTATTTGCACGCAATAATAATGGTGTTGCATTGAGTATTTAATCGTCGCTCCTTCCCGAAATGTTACTCATTAATGAATACTAGTAAAATGCTCGTGCGTTGCTACCGGCGACAATGAAGTGTGTGTGCGTGCATTTGTTGTCTTATTTTGTTGCTATGGGCAACAGTTCAAAGTCAATCTGTTCTGTTTTGTTCAAATGCGTTCTATTTTGTTCAAATGCACCGGGCACAATATGTATTCACATAGCTATAAATGTGAAAAAAATAAATTTGCTCCCTCCCTCTTGGCCACCACGTGCATCCGATCTCCTTAGCTACACCATCCTACAAAAACAACGGATGTGCACGTTGAGCATGGTTCCAAATACCACCGCGACGAACGGACCGTAACAAATTTCCTTATAGCTAACATCGACACTCTGACGACATTTGGCAAAAGGAAATATCTGGCAAGCCAACTATGTTTCTAGATCAAACCAACCCTCCTCAACAAATAGTGATATTAGGGCATCTCCAACGCCTACCCTTAACCCGTCCATAATCGTCCGGACCACGCGGTCCAGACATGTTTTGCTATCCAACACGGGCCTATATATCGATCCACCGACCGTTTCGGACGCATTTTTTGCAACCCAAAAACAAACTAGGAGGAAGCTTTCCGGACATCTGGACCATTGTCATGCCCGCTTCTGAGTTCTGACAACCCTTTCTCACCCTAAAACCCTCCCTTGCCTGCGTGTGTTCCCACCCGAAACCAGTTGCCCGCGTTCATGTCGCTGTAGAGCGGCCGCTCCCCATTGACATCGGACCAGAGAGGACGTGACCTCTAGCTGGTGCCGACATTGAAGTGGCTCGCCGGCTCGAGGGCGCCGTCCGCACCCCGTCACCGGTGTCCGCGCCTATTCAATGCGGGAGACACGTTTACTGGACGGGACATGAATGGATATCTACCATGTCCGTTAATGCCCGTCCCTCCGTCTGCCACCAATAGTCACGCTCGCCGGCCGAGAAACTGACTCCGGTGCCCGTGCATTGACGCACTTGGACGCTTGGCTTCACCGGCATCCACTGTTTAAAGGAAGCCACACTCGGCGAGAACACGCCACAACCCACCCGCTCTACATCTTCCTCCCGTGCACCATGTCCGCCATGACGGCGAGCGGGAACGCTCTATGGGAGAGCATGTGGACGGAGATGAAGCATGAGGTGCCACCCTTGCAACCACTTGGCAGAGCCGTCATGCCAGGAGGATAGAGGTTGGCATGCCGGCCAGCTCTCTTGACGTCTCTGATGACGACCTAGACTAGCTCCGACAATGACTCCGCGCCGGATTCTGCGCCGGTGCATGCCGGCTTGATGATGGAGTAGGCGCAGGGGCACTTTAACGCCACCATGGCTGAGGAGCAGCCGACGCCCGTGCCCATGTCATTGTTCCGGCAGGCGCAGGAGGAGCAGTGGTACATACTTATCCTCCTCGAGCAGCACTGGCTGGCGGAGGGTGTTAGGAGCTAGGGTTCTGCCCGGTCTAGGCCGTAGGCTGTAGGGGAAGGAGGGAGGAGGGCGCGGGCTTGAGCGCGGCGGTCGGTGGCGTGGCGCCGTCCTGGCGCGTGTGGCAGCGGCGAGGGAAGGAGGCGGCTAGGGTTTTATGGTTCCGGCTCCTCTGGGAGTCGGGCAATAGAATTCTTCTTATTGCTTGAATCTCAAAATAGTCTTACAAGTTGTATATATAACCACGATGCGAAATAAAAAATAAGATAACTTGCGGGCTAAGATTGCCCGGTGGGCCTCCTGCGGCTGTAGGACCGGCCGGTCATAACATGTCTCCACGCCTACGCAAACAGCTCGTCCTCGAGCTGAAAGTCGGGGTAGTGCTGGCGGAACTCCTCGCGCTGCTCCCAAGTAGCGTCCTCCTCTGGCAGTCCAGCCCACTGAATCAACACGTACCAAGAGCCGCGACGCAGCTGAGCCTTCAACGCCTTCTCCGGCTCAGGAAGTAGACGTCCGTCCGTGGTTGGCGGTAGCGCTAGCGGAGCCGCGGGTGGCTCTCCGCGGAAGGGCTTAAGCAGCCCCACATGGAAGACATCATGGATCCGCGCGCCCGCTAGAACCTGAAGACGGTAAGTCACCTGCCCAATGCGTTCTAGGATAGCAAAGGGACCGGCATAGCGAGGACCCAGCTTCCTCTTCGCGCGAGGGTCCAAAGGACTGCGTAGAGCGATGAAGTAGACGCAGCCAGACCCAGTCACCCACCGCGAACTCCGCCTCGCGATGGTGGCCGTCATAGTAGTGTTTAGCCAACTGCTGAGCCTGAAGGAGGCATTGCCGGACTTCTGCCAACATCTCATCACGGGTCCTCAGAAGAGCACCGGCCGCCTCGGTCCGCGCCAAGGTCGGATCAACCGGAAGAATCAGCGGGGGTGGCCGGCCATAAACCACCTCAAAAGGCGTAGCACGGAGGGCGGAGTGATAAGAGGTGTTGTAGCAGTACTCCACCCACGAAAGCCAGTCCACCCATGTGCGAGGTTGATCACCTGTAACACAACGCAAATATATGGCAATCACCTTGTTAACAATCTCGGACTGGCCATCCGTCTGAGGGTGGAAGGCGGTGCTCAGGCGGAGCTTCACGCCCGACAGCCGGAAGAGGTCGCACCACACATGTCCCGTGAACACAGGGTCCCGATCACTGACGATCGTAGAAGGGAACCCGTGGAGACGGACAATGCCATCGAAGAAGGCCCGAGCGACCGACGCCGCGGTGTAGGGATGGCAGAGCGCGATGAAGTGAGCATATTTGGAGAAGCGGTCGACCACCGTGAGAATGACGGACTTGCCGCCCACCTTAGGGAGGCCCTCGATGAAGTCCATGGAGATGTCTGCCCAGACCTGGGACGGCACCTCCAAAGGCTGAAGCATGCCAGCCGGCCGTAGGGTCTCCGTTTTGTTGCACTGGCACGTCACACAAGACCGTACCCAGTCATGGACGAGGGCACGATCACCTGGAATGTAGAAGTCAGCGCGGAGACGATGGAGTGTCTTCTGCACACCCTCATGGCCCGCCGAGTGGGCGAGACGCAGCACCTGATGACGAAGATCATCGTGCGCCGGAACAAAGACCCGGCGCCCATGGTGGAGCAGGCCGTCGGCGAGTCGCCACGGCTCCTCCAGCTCCCCCGCTGGCAGCTGCTGCTGAAGGAGGAGAGAGTCAGCCACAGTTGCGGTCGCCCGCCGGATCTCGGCGTAGAGAGCGAAGGAGGGCCCGGTGATGATGCAGAAGGCCGCCCCCTCAGCCGCACCGTCGTCCACATCGGCGTCACGCCGCGACAGGGCATCGGCGACGGTGTTAAGGCGACCGGGCCGGTACTCGACGGTGAAGTCAAACCCGAAGAGTTTACTGATCCACTGGTGCTGTGGCACGGTCGAGAACCTCTGATCCAGCATGAATTTGAGGTTGTAATGGTCTGTGCGGATCCGGAAGGAGCGACCCCAAAGATAGGGCCGCCAATGTCGCACTGCCTGCACCAACCCAATGAGATCGTGTTCATAAGCCGCCAGCTTAAGATGGCGGGCGGCAAAGGGCCGGCTGAAGAAGGCGAGGGGTCCATCGCCCTGATGAAGGACCGCACCAAACCCCGCACCGGAGGCGACGCAGTCGACGGTGAACGGAAGGTCGAAATCCGGCATTTGCAGGACGGGACCCGTCGTGAGGGCCCCCTTGAGGGCCTCGAACGCTATAGTGGCCTCCTCATCCCAAGAAAAGGCGTCGCGATGGAGAAGGCGCGTGAGCAGGGCCACCCCCTCGGCCGAGATGACGTGGCCGAGGTAAGCGACAGAAGGCGTCCCGAACGAGCACTTCGAGCGCATAAGATGAAGATGATGCGCCCAAAGCTCGTTGAAGATGATGGCCACATGCTGGAGGTGCTCTGCCCAAGAAGCGTTGTAGATAAGAATGTCATCAGAGAAAACGAGCACAAACCGCCGTAATTAGGGTCGGAGGACATCGTTCATCAAGGCCTGAAAGGTCGCCGGGGCGTTGGAGAGGCCAAACGACATCACCAAAAACTCAAAGTGTCCGTGGTGAGTCCGAAACGCCGTCTTGACGATGTCGTCCGGGTGCATGCGCACCTGATGATACCCCGACCAGAGATCCAGCTTGGTGAAGAAGCGCGCCCCGTGCAGCTCGTCGAGAAGCTCATCGACCACCGGGATAGGAAACTTGTCCTTCAGCGTGAGTGCGTTAAGGGCGCGGTAGTCGATGCAGAAATGCCACGTGCTGTCCGACTTGCGAACGAGGCCAGCGTCGTGAACGACGATGTGGAGATATGGATGATGCCCGCGGCAAGCATGAGCGCACACTGTCGCTCCAACTCGTCCTTCTGCAGCTGAGGATACCGGTAGGGCCGTACGGCCACAGGAGCCGATCCCAGAAGGAGGTGAATACGGTGGTCATAGATCCGGGCCGGCGGAAGGCCCTGCGGCTCCTCAAAGAGATCACGGTGCTGCTGCAGGAGGTTGGCCAACAGTGGATGCGCGGCCTCGATGGTGGCCGCCGCCAGCTGGAGCGGGGGTGTCGCCGGGGTGCCTCCAATGCCCTCCCAGTGGACGCGGCGACCGAGACGCCAGAAGGTCATCGTCAGGGTGTCGAAGTCCCAAAGGATGGGACCGAGACTCCGCAAGAAGTCGTCGCCGAGGATGAAGTCGAAACAGCCCAAATCAATGTCGGCGCAGGTGATGGTGAAGTGCTCGTCGCCGATCGTGATAAGCACGTCACGGGCAAGCCCATGTCAGCGTACACGATCGCCATTAGCGACGGTGACCCGCAGCTGCTCCCCGCCTGTCGGTTGTAACGCGAGGCGCTACATGGTGGCCTC